GGCTACATGGCACCAGGTAAATGTTATTATCAAGTTCATTTGAAGATTTTAAATGACGTTAATTATTTTCATTAATGATGGCGTGATTTTTTTTTTTTGTAGAGTATGGGTCAGAAGGCAAAGTATCAACGAAGGGAGATGTTTATAGCTTTGGTATTTTGTTAATGGAGACTTTTACAAGAAAGAGCCCCGTGGATGATCTATTTGTTGGAGACTTCACCTTGAAAAGATGGATATGCCAATCATTACCAGACCGATTGGTGGATGTAGTAGACATTAATCTATTTTCACTGGACGAAGAAAATTTTACTTCTAAAGAAAGATGCTTCAAATCAATCATGGAATTAGCTCTTGAATGCACAAACGATTTTCCTGAAGAGAGAATTTGCATGGAAGATATTACTCTGCGACTCAAGAAGATCCTAACCCAATTTCTGCAAAATGTTGTAACAAACTAAATGGTAGTGCTGAAATCTATAGTAGAATTGTCACATCTTTTCTTCACGGGCACAAATAGTTGGGCTAGTACGTAGAACTTTAACAGATTTAAGGATAGCCCTGCCCCTCTATCCCTCTCCATTTAAACACTAGGATTTTTCTATTTGGTAGCTAGGGTTCGAACCGCAATGTGCACTTACCATATATGATTATGCTTTTAATGAAACAGAAACTTGAATGCTTAAAGAGATCTTGTTAACAGATAACCCAGAAAGAAATGATCACTAAATTGGATAGCCTGAAACTACTTACCAAACAATACATAAGATAATTTGCAATTTCATTAACACTAGCATTTCTATGAAATATGAACTGATAGAAGCAGTATAAATACACAAAATACTTACGGTATTAATCCCATTCTCTCCCACAGCATTTGGCTAAGAGACACACGATCCGGGCCGGGACAATGTGATCATCTCCATCGTCAGTATGTCTCCAGCATGAAGGTGATCTTTTGTAAATTTCCACAGAACACAAGTGACTTGTTACTAGTCACTAGAGTCAATTGTGATTGGAAGGCTAAAATGACTTTGTAAGAGAAAACCCCTAATTATACAGAGGATTGCTGTGATTTGAAAGCGTCGAACCAGAGAAGCGTACTGGTTGACCTAATCTCTCTCTACTCGTGAATTCCATGGACATTTCTCCTACAAATTTCCGCATTTTCCTAAAACCAAACAGTCTCTATTCACACATTTTTCCTTACAAGATCCTGCTACTCTTCGGAATTTGCTTCAGAATAATGCAGCAGAGCTTCAATAAGATGAAAGAAGCTGTCAATGTATCCCAAGAAACAGGGATATGAACTCTCAAATTATTTCTGCATAATACATGAATATGCCACGGTAACTTAGCTTTAGACATCTATATTTTCTACTCACAAATACGTATTTAAATTTGTATAAAATTAAATAGTAAAGATGCATGTTTATGTAACATAATATATGTAGGACGCCATATAGGACACAAAATTATAATGTAAAATATTACATAGGAAAAATATGTTTATTTATTAAAGGTCGTACATTGATGTCAAATTAAATGAAATATTTATATATTATATATTATGACAACTATATCAGCTCATTAGGCTTGGTGATGGTGAGTAAGACGAGGAGGAGAATTAAGGTGGGGACATGGCAATTGAACGGATCCAAGTACATATGACATAAAAGATGGATGATAAAAATAAGTATGTTGAAAATTTTAGTGTTGAGTAAATATAACCTTTTTTAAAGTATTAAGGACAAATCTAATCTTTTTAGTTCTTATATTGTATTAATAATGGGTGGAGTTAGGATAAATAATAGGAGGAATCTGTTTGAGGGATTCCAGAGTGCTCCATCGTGGAGCTTATAGCGGCTAAATCTTATTTTTGATAGATCACCATTGAATTGCATCAAATTCTTAATTCGAACTTTATATACGAGAAATTTAAATAAATCAATAACCAGTTTTAAAATAATTTTTGAATAAAATGATATTATTAAACAAATCTTAAACTTTAAAATTCAAGTTGTACAAAAATTTCTATACATTATATAAAATTTATACTAGCATTCTACTCTTCGACAATGGTAAGTTTGCATCACTAGTCCCACCGTCCATATTGTCATGGGATATCATAAGTTTTGCAAAATTGAATTGATAATGAATTTTGAAAAGTGTCTAATGTAAAAAAAAATCGTATTATTTCTAATGAGTTTATAACTATAATAACACACAAAAATTAAAGATGAAATTCTGTCGAATGCACTTGTGATGATACACTACTAGAAACAAATGATTTTTCTATCACAAATCAATATATATAGTGTTATAAAATATAATTGTTTCATTCATTTCCCGTCGAACCATATCATTGGAAAACAAACGATAATTATTTTTTTGAAATAATGAATAACTTTCTATTTTTTTTCCATACAAGAATATTTTTTTGTGGAATAAGGCACAAGTACCCCTAGATTGATCCAAATCCTAGAGATGCACATTAATTAAACTATGGTCCTATTATCCCTCGAATCCATTGTTTTGTAATTTTGTACGCCTTTTTGACTTACGTGACATCCAAACATCTCCTATGCGCCTCAACTATGTGGAATCACGGAATGTGCCACATAAGCCAAAAGGTGTATAAAATTACAAAAAAAAAAAAAAGAGTTCGAGGAGGTAATTGGACCTTAGTTTAGTTAAAGGTGTATCTCCCAAACTTCGATCATAGTCTAGGGGTACTTATGCCTTATACCTTCTTCTTTTTTCATAGATTCAATTAAAATATCGATAAAAAACAGTCATGCATATTATAAGTTTCCGAATAAAGGTAGAGACTCCTTCAAAGTGTAACATAATCCAATGCAGATTTCTTTTGACTTTTTTTTAAAATTTATATAAACAATACTTATTGACTATCTGCAGATTTTGCTACAAGTTAGAATAAGTCTAGTAATACAAAATTGGGGAACTTCAATTTCTGTTTCATCAACAGAGAGATGCAGCAAATCTTTCTCAAGATTCTCATGGATAATATATATATATATTTATAACTTAAATTATTTGATTAAATGTTCTCTAAAGAATAGAGTGCATACCAAACTAACTTATATACTCACAAAAGTATCTTTGAATGATTCTTCCTCGTGTACACTGATGCCATGCAATTTACTAATTCAAGTTTCTGATCATTACATATTTTTTGTCAAATTAAGAAACAGTCTTGAGTTCAAGTCAAACTGACTCCCTTTTTACCATTCCTCTGGTTACGAATGTTCTTAATAATTCATGAGAAAAGCAAGAATCTCACTTAATCAGACGCAAATTCAAGTTAGCGAATTCTTAATACATATAAAAGGTTTAGACAAAAGCTATTGAATTCACGTGAACCGTACATTATATGTTAGATTCGCCGATTTGACATTCTTTGGTCAAACATCTATTCGGCGGAGGTTATGTACATTTGAATGATGACATTATACTATAGCCTAAACTACAACAATTTAGTCGTGATTTGATTTTATTCTTTTCTTGAATCATGAATATACAAGGCATATAAATCCAAGTAAATTATATTTAATTATCACTACAGAATTCCACAACCAATGGTTTCCCTTGAGCAATGAATTGCAGTCAAGTTCACCAACATACAAAAAAAAAAAAAAAAGAGAATGTTTCAAACATATTACGTATTTATTAGAAGTATACACAGTATATATAGATGGCATTTGAAAAAGAAAAACTCAGATACTTCCTAATTCCCTACACAAATATATAGCTGCTAAAGAAGTTGCACAAAATGGTTTCCAGGACTATAATTATAGCATTCCTAGTTTTGTTAATGTACCTCTCAGTTACGAATGCATCGAACATTTCAACTGATGAGGCTTCTCTTTTAGCTTTCAAAGCACAGATAACTTCAGACCCCAATGGAATATTGTCAAAAAACTGGACAAAAGGAACTCACATTTGCAATTGGATAGGCATATCTTGCAGTAAAAAGCATCAAAGAGTGACATCATTAGTCCTCACAAGCTTTGGATTTAGAGGTTCAATAGCAATAGAAATTGGGAACCTCTCCTTCCTTAACAAGTTGGATGTTGGAAACAACAGTTTCCACGGCCAAATCCCCGATGAAATCGGGAGTCTGAGGCGTTTAAACTTCTTGTCTTTGCAAATGAATAATCTCACTGGTCAAATCCCAGAAAGCCTTGGATTTCTCACAAGGCTTCAACTTCTTGATCTTTCTGAAAATGATCTATTTGGAAATGTTCCATTTTCCATTTCCAATGTGTCTTCCTTAAAGATCATTGATTTGGGATTTAATCGGATTAGTGGGAATCTCCCAAGGGGATTTTGTACTAGGCTTCCAAATCTGCAAGGTTTATTTCTCTCAAAAAATCAATTAGCAGGCCAAATCCCAAGTGGGCTGAATCAATGCACACAACTTATTTACCTTTCCTTGTCATATAATCAGCTCACAGGTAATTAGTAATGTTAATTCAATTCTTGGACTATATATACTTGATTCAGAATCATTTAATCCTTCTACAATGTTCTGAGGCTATCTGATTGTGTTCATATATGTATTAACAGGAAGTTTGCCAAGAGACATGTGGAATTTGACAAAGCTTCGAGAATTATATCTTGGATGGAATAACATAACAGGTATCTTGGTTCTAAGTCTAATAATTTCTAGTTAATTAGATATTGTAGTAGTAGCAAAAAATGTTCATATAGCTCCTTGTTATTCATTTTCAAACAACAATGACTACTACTACATTGGCTCAATGCTAGTTTGTGTCAACTTTATGAATCCTCATTATCCGCGTTAATCCATTTAGTCCCCATCTCAGTCCAAGGTTCAATAATTTAAGTTTTCTAACATTAAAATTTCTCTATATTTTCTGTTAACATACAAATATCTAACAATATTAAAAGCATCCTAGCGAACATTGAGTAAGTTGGAGGTACCAACATGATTAAGCTTTAATATCAACTAGTTGGTATCACCTTTATGGATCTTACTATTCCATTTTGCTCTACTTTTCGCTGAGTCAAAATGGATTCTAACATATAGTTGGTCTTTCTTTCAACTTCCTCCCATGTGATTTTAGATCTACCTTGTTCCTTTTTTAAACAAATCCAATCACCATATATAGTTTCATACCTGCAGACCAGTGCATCTAGAGATC